CCGGGTTCGCTGGCTGCTTACGGCAAAGACCGGCGGCTCTCGGTGTGCCCGGAGAGGAGCGGAATGCGTCCGTGCCAGCGGCTGGCTTTAAATAATTAACGCGAGACCTTCAGCAGCCCCGGGGGAGCTCGTCTCCGTAATGCCCGAGACGGGGTGGAGCGCGCGGGTCGTTGGCGCGTCCGATAGCGACTCCTCTGTCTGCAGGCTGATTTTTGGGGGTTTCGATCCCTCCTTTTCCCCGTAGATCAAAGGTCTGGAGTGGCTGGTGTCCTTGTACAACAACAACCTGAACGGCATCCTGGCAGACGAAATGGGTCTGGGCAAAACCATCCAGACCATCGCTTTAATCACATACCTCATGGAGCACAAACGGATCAACGGACCCTTCCTCATCATCGTACCTCTCTCGTAAGTGCCCTGCCTGAATTCGCCGGCCCGGCCCGGCACAGAGAGCGCTTGGCCCGGTGTCGGCGCCGGCTCCGGGCCTCTGCGGTGCCATTTCCCCTCGCGCAAGGGCCGGTTTTACCGTTTCTCTTTCTTTTTTTCCCCAGAACTCTGTCGAATTGGGCGTACGAGTTTGACAAATGGGCTCCTTCTGTGGTGAAGGTCTCCTACAAGGCAAGTACCGGCGTTCCTTTCGCATGCGCCTACCGGGCTCCTTCCGCAGGGATTCCTCGGATGCCAGTTTGCCCTTTCCTCCTTCCAGTCTCACAACATTTCCATTATCCCAGGGAAGCTGGGACGCTTCCTGGCGCGAAATCAATGCAATCCACATTTGTTTTTCATTCCTTAACGGCAGAAGGAATCCAGCTGCTACCCTCTGCACAAACGTTCTCCCTGCCTTTCTGTAGCTGGAACAATCGTTCCCCGTGGATAAGAACTACTCCCACCGCCTCTCTCTTCCTGGAAATTATCTTCTGGTTTAACATTTCTGTTTGAATTTCTTCCTCCAGGGCTCTCCGGCAGCAAGACGGGCATTCGTACCTCAGCTCCGAAGCGGGAAATTCAACGTCTTGCTCACTACTTACGAATATATCATCAAAGATAAGCACATCCTGGCCAAGGTGAGTCCTGCCGGCAGCAGCTCCCCGTTGGGGGCGGTTTGGGCCGCGGCCGGAGGATCCCCCGTCCTCGCTGCGCTCGCGGGCACCGCGCAGGCGGCACCGAAACGGTCCCCGCCAGAAAAACCCTGCCTCTTCGGGGAGGTTTTCCTCTCTGGGGTCTCTCGCCGTCACTGGCCGGAGGCGAGGAGCCGCCGCTTGCCCTCCGCAGCCAGGACTGACGTAGCGTTCTCCTTAGTTTCGGCCGCATATCCTGCGATACAGCAAATACCCTTTTCCCTTTTAATAAAGCGATTCCCAGGACACTGAACGTTTACCAGAACCCCCACAAGATCGTCGTTGCCCTCCGCCCCAGCCGAGCGCTGGCGGGTCTTTCCCGTGCTTGGGCGGCAGCCACAGGGGGATGATCAAACGCGGCTTCCCCCGGCTTGGAAAAGCTGTGCCGTTTCAAAAGCGCCCAGCCAACGCGCCAGGTCAAAACCCCGGGTTTCATCGCGCTCGGAATTGGTTCGGCAGCGCCGCTTGCCTCGGTGACGCGGCCTGGCTGCGTTAAAGCTGACGCCTCTTTACCTCGGCGAGGCTTCGAGGGGAGCGGCCTTCTCTTCTCCCTCTGTGCTGCGGAGAGTTAAACACGGCCGGATTTGTTACCGGCCAAAAATCTCGAGAGATCCTGAAATTCCCCGGGGCTGGCATCAGTCTCTGCCAGCCGTTTGGCATCGGCCTTCTTCCGTTTTCCCCCCGTTCCTCCCGTGTCCGCCTCCGGGGCAGAGACGCGAAGCGCTGCTGCTGGGCGCAGCTCCCAGGCAGGGCCATCGGAGAGGCCGGAGCGGGTTTCCACGATCCCTGGAGCCCGGATCTCTCCCGGATGCCTCCGGAGCCACCAAAGGCCGCGGTAGCCGCGGCGGAGAGCGCCGTCGCCCCTTGCCCACGCCGCCCTTCTCCTTCCCTTGCCCACGCCGCCCTTCTCCGTCCCACAGATCCGCTGGAAGTACATGATCGTGGACGAGGGCCACCGGATGAAGAACCACCACTGCAAGCTCACCCAGGTCCTCAACACCCACTACGTGGCTCCGCGCCGTCTGCTGCTGACGGGGACCCCGCTGCAGAACAAGCTGCCGGAGCTGTGGGCCCTGCTCAATTTCCTCCTGCCGACCATCTTCAAGAGCTGCAGCACGTTCGAGCAGTGGTTTAACGCTCCTTTTGCCATGACGGGAGAAAAGGTACGGCAGGAGGCCGGGCGCTGGCCGTTGCAGCCGCC